AGGAATGAAGGATGACCTCAAGGTGTGGGGCCTGAGCAACTGGAAAGAACAACTGAGATAGGGAAGGAGGCTTTAGGAGGAGCAGGTTTGGGGGAAGATCAGCTGTTTTCAGCATGTTCGCTTTGAAATACCCACCAAACATCCATGTGGATCTGTAGAGCCGTTGCATGTGCACTTCTGAAGCTTAAGAGCAAGGTTCAGGTGGGAGATCCCTGGGAGTTGTTTCTGAGTAGTGTTTAAAGCCAAGAGACTAGGTGAGGTCTGTGCAGTGTCCTTGGCCCTCGTTGGAGTTGGTGATCACTTGGCTGCCTGACCATCCCCTGTCACCCTCAGCTAGGAGACGACGATGTGGCAGATGGCTCAGCCTTCCACACCAAGCACAGCTACCAGCCACATGGCCGCTGGGCAGAGCGGGCCGACCAGGAGCCCCTCAAGACCATCCTGGATGCCCGCAACCTGGATTGCTACTTTACCCCCATGAAGCCCGACAGCCTGGAGGACTCCATTCTGGATACAGTGGAGCCACAGAACCTGGTGGGCCTGCTGAGTGAGGTAAGACTGCCTGCCCAACCCAGCCTACCGCCCCTGCACCACGACTACCCGCTCAGGACTTGGGGCCTCACCGCTGTCATTTTGAAAATAAGGCTGCCTTGTTCCACTGTAGGGGCGCGAGAGAATTACCTGAGATGGTAGACTGCAGGGGAGTGAGCCCTGGGCCTGGTGCACAGTGAAACTGCCCAGGGCAGATCAGGAATCTGGGAGGCTGGTCACCTTGGGGGTTAAGAGCTTGGGCCAGAGAGCAGGCCTGTGCCAGAGTTGGGGGCATTTGAGCAAGTAAAGCCCAGCCCTACCCCTTCCAGGCTGTGTGACTTAGAGCAAGGCTTGCCTTTCTGGGCTTTAGTTTTCAGATATACAGACATTTTTTTAAAAGATGACCAAGAAAAAAGATTTCAAAACAATGGTCATTAAAAAATATAGCCCTCAGGGGACTTTTACAGGAGTCCAGTGCTAAGAACAG